GCCCTGAGGTACTCCACATTTCAGTGTCTTCTCCTCTGTGGTTCCACTACTGTATTTCACATGGACTTTCCTTTGGCAAAGGAAGGTCTGAATAAACCGGCACAGGGATAGTGGCCAGCCTTGTTCTCGAAGGCATTTGAGCAGTCGTTGTGTAGGACTGCATCAAAGGCACCTTGGATGTTTAGTGTGACCATAGCCGCACATTTTCCGCTTCTTTTGGCTGCCTCAGCATCATAGATTACACAGGATGCAAGGTCGACCGCTGATTGTCCTGGTATTGAGCCAAATAATTGCGGATGAACAACTTGGTGATATACTGTCAGCCATGCCATTCTCTTGCCAACTAAACGTTCAAGTCCTTTGCCTAAACTCGACAACAGCGAGATTGGTCGCCAACCCTTAGCAGTTCAAAGATTTCGTCCCGGTTTGGGGAGAAGCACAACTTCTGCCACCCTGAATGCCGTGGGAAAGTGGCCGATATTCAGGCAGGCCTGGTAGAGATCCTTAACCAGGGGCTCTAGATGGGACCAACAGGCTTGCAGTAACCTTACCGTTATCTTGTCAGCGCCTGGTGCCGTATTGTTGACTGAGACGGCAGCGCTGTTCACATCGTCCAGTAATATTTCCGTGTCTCATGGGATACGCTCCTGCTGTCCATTCTCTCAGGTTGAAATGTCGTTCTCGCCGCTAAATCTTGCCAAGAGAATGTCTCTTAGTGCACTGGCTCGCTATTGCGGTTCAGATAGCCACCGATTTTCGTCAATCTACAGAGGAGGCAGCTCAGCTGCTGGTCGAGGTTTGGCCCATCTCATGAGCTTGAAGACCTGCGCGTCAGTGTCACGGAATGTAAAAAGAGAATATCAAGGTCTGGATGGGTCGGGATCAATAACTGTGTTGTGCAATAAGGAGAGTAAATCTAACTATGTACATGGAAGTCTCTAAGTCCCAAGTTCGCTAAGCCATTCCTAGGACTTAGACCCGTGACAGTCAGTAGTGACTGCCTCCACTTTTCTCTTCAAGTACTCTCGCTTGGCTTTTCGCACCATGGCTCTAAAGCTTCTGCGGGCCTCTTTCGCAAGGTCCGGGTTGTCCCTGACTGCCTAGTATTCCTGCCATTCCGTGTGACATTCATCGCTCTACCATGGCTCGGTTTTCCCGCTTTCGATGGCTGAGACTTTCCCTGCGATCTTCAGCGCATCTCTAAGTGCTTGTAGGAGATCATTCATGAAGTTTTCGATGTCGATGACGTTGTCAAGAGGGCCAGGTTTGGTCCAATGGCTAACGCATCGGCTAAATTCCTCCAATTTGGCGTCGCTGACACAAATGTTCTTCGGAATTCCGGAGATATCTTTCACTTTGGGATTCAGCACAATACCCTCGATGGTCGAAAAATCTGAGGTACAGTGGTAACGGTTGGAGACCGATGCTATGGCGGCCGTGTTGCTCCACGTTAGATCAAGGACGTTGCCATCCCTCTGCGTTGGCTCTCCGACAATGCTAATTAGATCCATGTCATGAGCTGATGCCCATTCCATAATTTTGTTACCATTGCCATACTGATTTGTTGTCAGCGGTTGCCAATGCTGAGATACAGTATTGAAATCGCCTCCAACAACCACTATTCCTCTAACTTCCCACCGGAGTAGGGGCTCCAAGGTTCCACTAATGCCAGGGGCACAATATACATTGACAAAGGTCAGACTGCCCATCTTTATAAAACAGTAGTCAGATGTTTGGCCTGTCAACGGTGGGAATAGTTGAGTCGCATGACTACCTTTGCGCGTGAAAGTAATCGCGCGGGGCCGGATGTCTGTTCCTCCGAATGGTATGTGGCTATTGTAGCCAGGGTGACCATTTGTCATAAGACCCCCCTCTTTCTTTCTTGTCCATGGTTCCTGTACCATGACTACATGTGCACCGGCCTCCCATGCCTGCTGCAATGCTATGTCCGTATTTTCTCCACCCCTTCCGACATTCACTTGGTGACAGTGGAGGGTGTTGTATTTGTTTTTGGGTGCTTTTGTTGAGGGGTGTCCTAACATTAACATGACACTGTTGAATCCTCGATAACGATGGTTTCAGTCGCTTTTCTCTTCCTTTCTGAGTACGCTAGAGCAGTGTGATAATCACGATGTCCGCGTTCTCTTATGATGTGTAATTCTGCAGGGGTGCGGGGCAGAAATATCCCGTTTTGTCGTCTTGGCCTGGCCATACAGCTACCCTCATTCGAGAGGTGAGGTCCCGGGCAATTCGAGCACTTTAGCACCTTGGCCTAGCACTCTGACGTCTCGTGAGTTCCTCCGCATCGTCCATATCGCTGGCTCCTGGTATAGGAAGGTTGACATTGCTCGATTGGTCTTCGGCGCGAGAAGGGAATGTGTCAGGAACTAACGATAGAGCAGCACCCTCATATTCTTTCCCTACACTACATCTGAATATTCTCTCATCTTAGAGCGTTTACCGGGTTACAATGGTTGCTATGGGTTACAAATGAAGTTATAGAATAGCAGCAGGCGCACCCCTTGAAGCCCTAGTTGCTCTGGTTACTATGATGTATATATGGGTTGGGTAGAGCCGATGTAGAGGGCCACGTTTTCTTTTGCGTCTTCCATTGACCTTGTCTCTTGTCCTAGTTTCTCTTGTCCCTTGTCCTCAGTTATAGCTAGAATCCCGAATTAATACCTTAGTCTATGACAAATCTTGTCAGATATCACTCGCAGTTCTAAGTTATCCATAAAACACAACCCCTGGTCCGCTCTCGTTAAATAGCCAAAATTTTGTGTTTGCTGGTATTTGTTGAAAATGAACAATCCAGCTCGTTGAGTGTTGGCCAAGTTTCGTTTCTGTGGGCCTTACCTGGATTGGTGTGGCGCCGCATACTGCTTGACACTCGTTCTTCACCATTTCGTTGGTGACTGGGATACCGCCTTCAAGCGTCCTGATGTACAATGGTACATGGACGTGATAGCGGAAGTTGCTGTTGTAATCTAACGCTGTTCAATCTGAGGACTTTGTGGTGGGCAGTTATTACATCTCACGTGATGTAACACGGGAGCGAAGTAAAAGAGGGGACAGCCCACTAGCCACATCTAAGTGATTAGGGGCACACGTAGAATTGTAACAAATTCTCTGTAGATAGACATAACAAGTAATAATCATCAAATAATTGAATCAACCTCCACACAATTGAGACCCATAGAATTGCCAAACTTTCATACAACCCTCAATTTTATTGTCACAATCGCATCTGTAACGAGCCACCACTGCATTCCAGAATACACTCTCTAAGTGCGATAAGCTACACCTCCAGGTCTAGCAAACAAATTACAATAGTTGTTATCTCAGCTTTTTCGGTGATTATTTTCTTTGTCATGACTGGTGATAACTTGTGACAGTGGTGATCTTTCCTCAATCGTAAGAACAAGCGCTTGTCCTCCTTTGAGGTTAACTGAGGTTGCGGGTTGCTTGCTGGGGCAAGCCTTCGCGGAACTTGCACGCTAGGCGACGTCAATAGTTTGGCCGCTTTGTGGACTACTGTTACCCAGAGCGAGCTGGTGTCTTGAGGCTTTGAGGAAAGGGCGTGGCTGTGATCCTGATCAGCTGTGATATTCCTGGGAGCGACTGGTTTGGGAGTGCTTGCCTTAGTTGAAGGTTTATTACTTGGTAAGTTGGCTAATTCTGCCTGATCTACTGCAAAGGCAGTTATTACAGTCGTGATCTTTTCCATCAGCGTCGCGACGACTGCTGCTGCTTGCTGTTGGAAATACAGTTTCCTGCTTTTCTTTCTATCGACCAATGTGGTTGCATGCATCTTGCCTGAACTATATTTCTGAGTTCGGGCAGGATCCCACATTTCTGATCCAATCGGACTCAACGTTAGAGTCTGCTTGAATCCCATTCTTCCCGAACAAATCCAGTCATTGGTTTGTTCGTACTTCTATTGCGTGACCCAGTATTCTCAGTCAGTGGATAATTATTTTCTGGTACGGGGTCCCACTTATTTATGCAGTCGAGTCGGTTCCGGGTAACCTCTATTTCTTATAATTCCACTGTATATATCATAATACCTGTAGTCTATTAGTAAATTAAGCAAACTGAACTTCTTCTCCGTTCTCAGGCAATTCTTACTCCGAAGTCTTCTCTATACTCTAACACTTGCTTCTCTCCTTTTCTCTTGGCCCAGGAGTCGATTAGTTCATGAAATTCCTGGACTATATCCAATCTTTCTTTTCTTTGCTGTTCCGCTTTTTGCATTGCATTCACAATGCCAAGCAGGCTTCGGCGAAGTTTCCCTCCTGGATTGGAGGGCGTTGACGATGACGATGCAATAGCAGGGGCCATTGCACCGATTGGTAGCTCTTTTACGAGGGGTTGTGGGTGATGTGATGTGAATTATTATTGGTTGCTTCATAGTCATAGACTTAGTAGGGACTTGAATTTAATTCTATTCTATTCTACAAGTGATCTAAATCTCTTCTAATATTTGAGCTAGGGAGTTGTCACTCATTATAAGAGCAGATCTATACACTAATTTCAAAGGTCATCATTCATACTGGTGGATTGGAGGTCAAGGTGTTGGAGTGCATCCTGCTTCCAAATTTCCGAATCCCATCTTAAAATGTATCAGGCAAGTAAATGCCAATAATTTGACCAATCTTATTCCCCTGCATCTCGATGGTCAGCCGTAAAGCCTATTTTCTGGACAATCATTCACCACAGAAGGCAAGAGGAATTTTGCAATTTCAGATCCCAGAAAGGTGGAATAAGAAGTAATTAACATGGGTTAAACTAACATTGCAAATGCCTCATAACTCCAATGGTTCACACATGGTTGATTGAACTTGCCAAGCCACACTTTGGGTAGAAAAGAGTGTATATTAATTGCATCCTAAAATCACCGACAAGCCTTTTAGATTCTGTACTTCATTTTTATCAATCTTCAAATTTCGGCTTTCCATAGCCCTTAGATTGGAAGAAAAACAAGTACTGAATATTCTACAATGAAGTTTTCCATCATCAGCGGCGCCTCCACGCTCTTATGCATCTTAGCACCAGTGACAGCGCTGCGAGGAGCGCCAGCTCTAGTACCAGTGCCTGACCCGAACCGAGAATTCAGCTTCCACTGCCCGAATGGGCCCGTCTACACAAAGGCTCAACTCATGGATTTTGTTCTGACGGCCAGAGCAGTTATGCAGACCGATAGAGCAGATGATCTATATCCTTTTGTGTTCACTTCATTACACTACAGCATTCCCGGAGAACTATGGTATTATCCTATGGCAGGTAATAACAAAATCCATGATATTTAGTTGCTTTCCAAGTTCTTTAATACTAACCGATGACTGCAAATTTCTAGAGGGCCCAGGTCCACATGACTTCGTTATATTCAACACAGACAATCGATTAGTGGGCGCAGTAAGTCGCACTCATCATGGAAATGGCCCCGACGTCGTTGAACCTTGTCAATTTGTGTAAGTAGTTGTCCCCCGACGCAGACTCTCTTGTCATGTGAAGATATGACTAATAATTTTGTTAGGTACTTGGATGGATGATGTCTTAGACACTAAGCGTCCAGTGAATTGTATTAAAGTCCGTACTGGATCTATAACTAGAAGGCCTTTGGTTCAATTGAAAAATGTAAAAGTATAAGGATGAGATCTCTACTTCTTTCCGACCTTGATGCTATATATCCAACTCAAACTATTTCTAGGAGAGAATATCTTTGTCTCGATTTCCAAAATAACAGGTGTAGAAGATCAAAATATCTTAAGTTGGAGCTTTGATCATCCTGAGCACCATTTTGGGTGAAATATTAAAGCTCCAAATAATTACAAGGGGAGGATTTTTCATCCTATACCCAATTCTTCTCATCACTAGATTCAGTAGGCCTAAATTTATCTGCAGTTTGACATGATACAATTTGAAGTGTGTCTGTAGATGCTTTTGCCGCATGGAGAAGCATGAACACTTCAGAGTTAGTTTGTCCAATTTGCTTAGATTTTGTTGATTTTACCACTGTGAATGTTATAGACTTTGAATCTTCTAAAACTTCTGCAATTGAACTAGGTAATCACCTTGCACGTTAACTCATTATATTTTCCGCCATCACCAACAGAGATATATTCATGAAATTGCTTAATGAGATGCTAACATTGTCTCTACCAAGAAAGAACTACCCTTCAGTCCTTGATGCGGTAGAATGGATCGATTTTTGTTCTGTTTCAATCTACTAAACGGCTAGTTGGAGTTGGCCAGAGTGTTGTGCTCAGCCAAAGTTGATGCAGAGCACACCACTCAACGCATGGGAAGCAAGGCTGTTAGTATACAAGGCGCAAGGCTGGACAAGTCACATGAACCGGCTTGGTGGGCTTGCTTGGCCGGGACAAATAACACAAGGAAGCTTAGTGGGCTTTGTGATTGGTCAGTAAATGAGTTAACTGGATATAAAAGCATAGATATTTCTACTGTTAATAATTAATCAAGCACACTTACATCTGTTCATCACCCACACACTCACACTTCCAACGTCACAAGCAGTCATTACAAGTGTATAGTCTCTATTTCACGGACCAACTAAATTACCGAGCCCGAGTCTCGCCAACTACACCCGTTGGAATACACAACTTACTGCTCTGGTTGGTTAAGGGCGGCTCCTCCCAAACAAAAAGAAGAGTCGAAAGTAAACTTCGGAGCTTGTTGAGCCTTTGATATGCATCTCAATATTCCATCTTGCGAGGGACCTGATTATTACCCCATAGATAACCCCCATCTTGTTTGATGGCACTGCTTTGTGCCCGTCATTACATACCTTGTATTTACAGGAGCGCTGACTAAACTTTCCTGAAATTTGTAGAGGTTAGGTTGTAGGGTTTGGCAAGGTGATTCCTGTCGCACAAGCGGAAATTCGGAGTAGATTTTGGTGAAAATATTTGATAACTGTAGCTATTTGAAGATTTTGCCGTGCCTGGGAAAGTGTTGCTGGCATCTGAGTAGGCTCTGGGCGCTTTGGGAAGTCTCAAAAGTAGCAGTCTACGCTGTAACGTGTAGCTGGGAGTCTTGCGCTCACCGCAACTACAGTATATAAATAAATTTGCACAAATAAATCTTTCATGGTAGTCGGCAAAGTCACAATGTCCTGAGCGTGCGGCGAGGATACTGGCAATGAGGGGAGTGGGTAGCAACAACCCTTCTGGACATGTCTCTAAAATATTGATCCGAAGATCTCTACTAGAATGAAGGGATTAATTCCCCCAATAATCCTTTAAAGCCGCGATTAAAGCTTTTGTGCTCTAGCATTTGGTTGTGATTGAACGCTGTTCAAATTGATAAAAAAATATTAAAATTTCATGAAGCCCGTTCAGACATCCTATGGGCCCATGCAGGTATATCTTTTTTTTAAAATCATTTAATTTGTATGCAGCTATCTAGCTATGACACATTACCGGTGCTATGTATACACATGGGTTGACTCTTTTGACACTAGAGACACTCATACTCTGGATTTCATTTGCAAATACCACATTTGAAGTAGAGTTTTGTACACGAACAGTTGAACCTCCTCTGTAAGAACCCACCAAAGGGAAATTCGAAATCTTTGATTATACCAGCATGCCTTTGTCATCCATTTATATCATCGCCGCGCGAAAAGTGGTTTTGTATTGCCACATTCGAACTAGCAATCTCCTGTCTCGATTGGGATATGTATCTAAGCTATTCGGACTCTACTTAGAAGGCCGGCCAAAACAGTATACCACTGCACTATCCAGCCATGGTGGTGTCTGTTGTGTCGCCTGAGTTCTTGTCAATGTATCTAATAAGCTAGCACTTCAGGGCACCTATTACAGTCTCTTATGGATGACAAAAGTAAGATTGTCAAAATGACTGGGGTAAGATCCCTGCACATACAACCTTATTTGGTATGGTCTTCATGCAGGCCCGTGTCTAGTTACTCGACTAGTTACACAAGCAGGGGGTACTATCCAATGATATTCTGTAAAAGTCTAAATTATGGGTATTGTTTTGAACTCAATAGGAAAAGTACAATGGTCCTCATTTGAAATTCAAAATTAAAAAAATCAATTGATATTCTCTAAAAATACACATCTATTTCAAAAATTATTGCTTTGTATTACAAAAGTCTACATCGAAGCCCTCAGTATGGCTCGCAACTAAAATGAAAGCGTACTACATGTTTTGTGTGTCTTCTCCATCCTAATACTTTGTGTACCCTCTATTTGCCTTTATCACTGCTACACATCTTTCGTGCATGCTACCAACTAGTGACAATAGCTCCTCAGAAGGTATAGAGTCCCATGCGGCCTGCGGCAATGTTTTCAACGCGGCAGAGCGCACAAGCCTGACCCCATTTATCTCAGGACTAATTACCTGAATGTGGTTTTTTAAGATATTCCACAATGACTCGATCGGGTTCAGGTCCGGAGAGTAAGGTGGCCATCTAATAGGCGTTATTCCAACTTCACGCAACGCGTCAATTGTTGAGTATGCTATATGACATGGTACGTTGTCGTGCGTGTATAGAATTTCTGGATTTTCCACGTAAAATTGATTCAAAAGAGGCAAAATCCTTTCACAAAAGGATGAGGCCCTCGTTGATCCCCAATCTTTCTCCCAGACTAGGAATGGGCCTTCTTGTGATCCATAAAATGATCCCCAAAACATCCAACTGTTTCCATGAGCACGACGAGCCACAATACAAGTCTCATCAGGCTAAACTGTGCTGTTAGTACAAGGAAGATTTTGATAGAGTTTATACGTACTTTTCTTGTGACACGAGGTCACATATGAGAATCACCCGATACTCAGGTTTCATCAGTCCATAGTATGCGACTCTATTGTTCATCACTCCAATCTAAATGTAATTGGGCGAACTCAAATCTTTTCTGCTTGTTCACCGCGCTTAACGGAGGCTTCTTCCGAGCAATGCATCTGCTGTAACCTCTTTTTTTGAGTGCATTAGAAATTAGACGTTCACTGCATCCCCAGTGGCTGAAGGGCCCCATGGCTTGTTCCAAATAGCACATCTGTCGATTTTCAGCAGATTCCCGGACAAAAGTCTCAACCTCATCAACTTGTTCCGCGCTTAATTTTGGTAAGGGTCCTTTGCGAGGCATAGGATTCTCAGTCTCTCGAGCACACGCAAGTTGCACTTGCCTTCTTTTGAAGCACATTCGTCGGATATAAGTTGTAATGTCAAGCCAAGTCTTCTTAATGCTCTTATTTCAATACATTGATCTCGAGTTAGATGCTTGCGAACTTTAGTTTCTGAAGCAGACTTTTCGAGACATTTTTTGCCAGAATAGAGGATGTTTTGTTTTTGTTTTGTTCATTAACGTGCTAGATTATATGACTACCGTTGCACTCCTATTGGAGCTTAAGCACGAGTGGGGCCGGACCGGATCAGGTTAACTACCGTGAAGTACAGATAAACCTCGTCCTACTTTAATGACTAGACCACCTCAGACTTCACCTATGTGTTGAATCATGTCAAGCCCAACCGTCCAGAAACCCGCTGTATAGACGCCGTAGCGCAATTTCCTCCTCAGCCTCGGCCACCACGCGGCCGAGCCCTTGATATCCTCACTAACTCCGAAATATAAATGCCATCCAAAATCTCATCTTTGCTCTAGCTTTGCACCTTCATGTCGTACTGTTGGGTTGTTTTCGTCATTGGGGATTTCTGTAATCCCCTCGGTGTATCTTCCCTCTTATTCCTCCTTTGTACACGTCCCATTTCCATCATGACTTTCCTCATTATGACGTGTGTAGGCAGGTGATCAGACGAGTATAGGAGTGGGTCGTAGGTATAGAATCGACTGAGAAATGCTTCGTAGCAAATATAAAAGGAGTTTGAGAGATGTCGGATGTTTGAATACGGCCCCCAGACAGACCTAAATCCATTCGTGAATTGTATGTTAGTGGTGATCAGTTTTTGTTCAACCTTTTTCCGGCTGTGGAATCTATGCCAACTGATTTTTCGACCAAAGTATTGAGTGCAACTCCCTCAAGTCGAAAATCCATCAATATAATATTCATCCCACCCTTTGTCGTGACTGAATCTCAGCTCTGGGAGAATATCTCACTCCCAGGTTTGTAGAGGACACCACAGACAGGTGTTCAGCCTTCGTCCTCCTAGAATAGAGGATAAATTGATAGTGATGTTAAAAATTAGAGACTATGTTGGCTGGGCAGTCAAGAATGTCGTTAAAGATGTGTTTTCCTAAGCGATTGTCAGAAGAAGACGATTGGACCATACTTCATGGCGAGCGGGGTAAGGAGGAGAGACATACTAACCTATTACGAGCTAGCCCAACTGCGCCTACAGGGCCAATCCCTTCAACGACCCAGCTTGAAGTTTTACCTTTTGGAACCTAGAGGCACTGTACTCATTCCAGTCCCTATACCACACACGAATTCGTGTTGGGAACAGGGACAGAATGGAGAGCAAACACATACAA